TGGAGATGGTGGTGGCCGTGTTGGTGGTGATTGTGATGTTGGCGGCGGTGGTGGTGGTGTTTGTAGTGGCAGTGGTAGTGGTGGTAATATTGGTGGCGGTGGTGGTGTAGTAGTGGTGGTGATGGTGGTTGTGGTGGTGGTGTGGTTGTTGGTGTTGGTGGTTGTGGTTGTGGTAATATTGGTGGTGGTGGTGGCGGCGGTGGTGTCACAATGGATGTTGATGTTGTGGTTGTGGTGATTGTTATGGTAATAATAATAATAATAATAATAATAATAATAATAATAATAATAATAATAATAATAATAATAATAATAATAATAATTAGAAAACTAATTTTAAAAAGAAGTGAGGAAAGAGATGGAAAATAAAGAATTCGAAAATGTCTTCAGAATAAAAAAATTTAGATAGACATTTTTCACCAAATTAGTCCTTTTTCTGTTTACGATAATTAATATTTTCTTTTGACTTCATTTTCCTTGAATATCCAAACATTGGATAATTTAAAAAATGACTCCGGAAAGTCATTTTTCAGATTTTCAAATGGTGAAAATTATACTAAAGACTTCAACTTGCCAAGTTTTATTATATTAGTAGCTAGCTTAGTTTTGTACTTTGAAAGGTTTGGCGTAAGTGTGTGCATATGAATTTATTGCAAGTGATTAAATAAATAAATTTAATATTGGGAGAGAGAATTATTATAGTGATTAGAGAAATTCATACTTCACTTTAATTGTCATCTTAAACTATATGTGAAATAACAATTAGATCATTAAAGTACAAAAAAAAAAATCAATAATTAAACACTTTAACTCATCAAATTGATGCATTTGAGCTATTAGTATGTAACCTATCTGTATAAATCGCCACGGGTTAAATGTGAAATATGAACTCTTAGTTGAATTTGACGTGTACAATAAATAACATAAATAAAGGAGTGAATATTTAAAAAAAAAAAAAAAAATTAGGAATGGATGCAGACACATGCAGTGTGCGTCACTCTTTCAATTCATACAATATAATAAGTACGTAGCGGTAGTTGAGCTAAAGGAGACTTAGGAGTCAAGCATAAAGTGACAATTTTTAATGGTTGGAGTGCATTAGACGACGATGATCGACCCGTTGGACACTCACAATGTATGTCTTTTCAGAAATGACGAAATCTCTTACTGGGTGTTTGATTGGGAGGAAGAAATTAAAATGAATGGTAATTTGGTGGGAAAAGAATTTGGTGAAAATAAAGTAAGAATTCAAATTATATTGTTTGGTAGGAATGAATATAATTATTGGAAATGAGAAGAGAAGAATTGATATATAAAGACTAAAATATTCTTTTGTAATAATGACACTAATAATAATCAATGATAAAAAATATTTTTATCTTCCCATTTTCCTTTCATTTCCCCCATTAAATTGCAATTCATATGGGGAGAGTATGAATTACGAAATTGCAATTCTATCGTTTTGTTGAATTGCAATTCAACAAAATAATAAAATTACAATTCAGTGAAATTACAATTCCCTCCAACCAAATAGTATTATTCAAATGATCAAAAAATTATATTGTAATTGAATTGCAACTATATCTAACCAAAAACTCCATTATTACAATAACATCTACATTTTGACTTGACAATATTATTAAAAAAATTAAAAAAAAATAGAGTGACTTGACATGTCATTAAATGCTCACAAGGAGCCACTGAAAAGCATATCACTCACAATATATGTCCTATTCCTTCACCCAAATATATGTCCTATTCCTACGAAGAAGTATGGAATGTTAAAAATCTAAAATTATTTCATTGACCCTATTGAATTAATTTCATTAGAGCTCTCTTATTTTATTTTTTGTGACAATTTTAAATTTAATTCAGATTATCATTTTTGTCCTTTAACATCCTAGACTATTATTTTTAGGACACTTTTAGTCATTCTTATGACTTTTCTTATTTTTAGTAAGGATATTTTTGTTTTTTCATATTTTTCTTTTGTTATTTTTTCAGTTTAATTGGTTTATAACTTTAGATAACCTCTGATTTTTAGTAATCATATTTTTCAACTGGTTTTAGTAAAGTCTTAAACCAATTAAACCGGGAAACCAGATAAAATAACAAAAGAAAAATATGAAGAGACGAAAATGTCCTTACTAAAAATAGGAAAAGTCATGAGCTGAGAATGATTGAAAGTGTCCAAAAAATAATAATCTGAGATGCTAATTAACAAAAATGATAGTGTGAGACTAAATTTAGAATTGCCACAAAAAACAAGTGACATCTGGTGGAATTAACTTACCCCTATTCCATATGTGGTATGTAGTCATGATACTCCGTAATTCCGTATACCTTTTCATTTAATAATAATAATAATAATAATAATAATAATAATAATAATCCGTGGTATAGTAGTGGTGGTGGTGGTATAGTGGTGGTAATGTGATGGTGGTGGTGGTGTACTGGTAGTGGTAGTGGTAGTGATAGTAGTGGTAGTGATGTTATTTGTTATATAATAATAATAATAACTGGTGGTGGTATGGTGGTGGTGGTGGTGGTGGTGGTGTAATGGCGATGGTTGCGGTGGTATGGTAGCGGCAACGGTGGTAGTGTGGTCTTATACTGGCGGTGGCGGTGATAGTGGTAGTGAGGTCGTGGTGGCCTGGTATGGTGTTGTTGGTGGTGGTGGTGGTGGTGTAATGGCGATGGTTGCGGTGGTATGGTAGCGGCAACGGTGGTAGTGTGGTCTTATACTGGCGGTGGCGGTGATAGTGGTAGTGAGGTCGTGGTGGCCTGGTATGGTGTTGTTGGTGGTGGTGGTGGTGGTGGTGGTACAGTAATTGTGGTGGTATGGTAGGTAGTGGTGGTGGTGGTAGCGGACTGGCGGGGGTAGCGGTGATGGTGGTGGTAGTGTGATCTTGTACTGGTGATGGTGGTAGTGAGGTGGTGGTGGTATGGTGTTGATGGTGGTAATGGTGGTGGTGTGATGTTGGTGTAAAAGTTGAAAAATGACTTCCAAAAAAAAAAAAGTAATAAAAAAAAATCATTTTCCTCCAAAACAAGTCTATTTTTCAAAGTCAACGAAAAATGATTTCCGTGACTTGATTTTTCAGGCACATCCAAACACTGGAAACCCAAAAAATAATTTTCATAAATCATTTTCCAGGTTTGTAAACACACGCTAATACTCGAAATAATAAGTATAATTGTATTAATATAAAAGGATTAGAAAAGTAAAAGTAATACACCCCCTAATTAATATTCATTCAAAGGTCGTTGCTACTAGCTAGTATAATATGTGAGGTAGATGTTACTAAGACGTTTTGAGCAATATTCCAAGTCGTGCATTTTGTAGCCACTCATTAATATGAAAAGGACACCACTTAATTCAGATGTGACTCGTTGATATTATAATACACATAATATTATTACTTTAAATAAAAATCAATGAATGAAAGAAAAGTCTCCTTAATTGCGTGTTAGAGTTTTATGTACAAGACTGTCTGAAAAATGTAATACTCTGGTCATTGTTTGTGAAACAAGTCACCTCAAAATGTAATACTTATATTAAAAAATATAATACTCTAATTTGTCTTAAAATGTTGTCTTCTTTTCAAAATTAAATATTATCATCATTCTACTTTTTTCAATTTACTTTTATTATTATTATTTTTTTTTATCTTTTTTTTGCTTTCATTTCCAACAGTGAAAAAAAAAAGTGAGGGGATAATTGGAAAACACATATCATCATTTACTTTAAGGTGTGCTTGGTTCATGGATTTACATACTAGGAATGAGAATCAAAATCATAGTTAGTGTTTGGTTGACAACTTTTAAAAATACAATTATGTGATTTTATTACCCCTTCAATTAAAAATTTCATTTTCTAAATAAAAAAAAGGTATTATTCCATCTTGGTGATATGACTTTAAGTTTGTATTAGTGCTTTTATATTTTTGTTTTGATTTTTTTTTTTTTGTTCAGAGTTTTGGATGTCATTATATTAGGATCAATTGTCTTAATTTTTTTGTTTTTGTATTTTTAAAACCTTAATTTATTTCCATTATAGGGTGATTAGGGTCATATATATATATATATATATATATATATATATATATATAACTAAATATTAATATTGGTAATCATTTCAATTCCACCCTACTACCAAATATGCAAAATACTTTCACAAAAATTCATATAATTACCAAGTATTTGATTCACATTCCAATTCTGATTCCTATGTGCAAACCAAATACACCCTAAATCCTTAAAAAGCGTGCAAAAAGCAAATGTTTCCACAAATTTGGAACTGAGGGAGTACTAATTAAGAATAAAATGTTTTGATACTTATAAGGGAGTACTAATTAATTATTACATTTTCTCTCTTATAATCAACACACTTTATTCTTCTTTAGTATTAATTTTACCGTATAAGTATTAAATTTTCATACTGGCCCGACCCAACATATCTGACGGATGACAAATTGTGCTGTGAGCACGTGCCCACCTTGCAAGGTGGGCACGGTTCCATATTCATAATTTATATACTGTAGATTCATAATTTCAATACTGTAGATCCATAATTTTTATACTGTAGATTCATAAAATTTTTACTTTAGATTTCAATTGTTGAACTTTGTTTTCACAAATGAGAGAACTATATATTCATAATTTGATAACTACACAGTTTAGAAATTATGAATTTATTATGAATCTATAGTACATATATTATGAATCTGCAGTATAGAAATTATGAATCTGCTACTGTATTTAACTTATAATCTACGATTTAGAAATTATGAATCTAAAGTATACAAATTATGTATCTACAATATATAAATTATGAATCTACTATGTAAATTATGGATATAGAATCGTGCCAACCTTGCAAGATGGGCACGTGCTCACACCATAACGTTCCCTCACAGATGAAGATCCGTGAGAAGGTCTCACACAAGTGTGACCCATATATATATATAGTAGCTAGAAGTGAAGTTACATCCAACACAAACCAATTAATCTTTTGGGTTATCATTTGGAAACTGTATAGTCGTCCAACAAGCTAACGCTGCAACATGAGCTTCTTCCTTTTACTACTACTACTTGTGTTGTCGGCAGTAGCAGGTTTTGCTCCTACCGCCGCCACATCAAAAACTATTTCTTCCATAGCCAAACCAAACTGCGATGATCATTGTGGGAACGTAAGCATCCCATTTCCCTTTGGTTTGACACAAGAATGTGCTCTAAACACAAATTTCTCCATCACTTGCAACACCTCCTTTCATCCTCCAAAGCCATTTCTAAGTAGGACTGTGGAGGTTAGGGATATATCAGTTGAAGGGCAGTTGAGGGTCATGAAGCTCGTAGCTAAAATTTGTTACAACAAGGGCGAAAATCGTTCCTCACTGAGAATATCGTATACTTCCTCAAGATTCTATGTCAACCAGACCGCCAATAAATTCGTTGCTGTCGGATGCGACACTTTCGCTAACGTTTACGCCTACGGCGATGACCAGTCGTACAAAACAGGGAGTAACTGTGTGAGCATCTGTAACACCACACATGATGTTACAACTACAAACGGGACTTGCTCCGGATTTGGGTGTTGCGAGACAGGGATTCCTAACGTGGCCAGGAACGTGTACCATTCACTGGATAGCTTGAATTACTATAATTACACTGCCGGTGATATTAATAACTGCAGCTACGCATTCGTGGTGCAAAAAGAGGAGTTCAGGTTTTCCCCCACCATGCTTACCAGAGATTGGGATGTGGAGAAAGTGCCCATGGTTCTTGACTGGACCATCTCGAACCAGACGTGCCTTACGGCGTGCCAAGGTAATACCACATGTGTTGCCGTCAATGGTGAGGGGTATCGTTGCGCTTGCAAGGAGGGTTATGAAGGCAATCCTTATCTCCCTCCAGGTTGTCAAGGTATATATATAAATGGTAGCTTAATTAGCTTAGCTTAGATATTATTATGTTTTGTTCTCATTTACTCAGCTTTCTTGTTAATTGGCTCTGCAGATGTTGATGAATGTGAAAATGGACAGAACAATTGCTCCAAAAACGCTATTTGCTCAAATACCGAAGGTGGCTATGAGTGCTCTTGCAAGAAAGGTTACCGTGGCGATGGCAAGAGTGCTTTAGGCTGCACTTCTTCTAATCATCGTAGACACATCATGCTTGTTTTGGGTAAACCAACACCCTCCCTCCTTTCAATTCTTTTGGGTGACCAAAGAAATCCGCAGTCACTACTCGATGGTGTGTATTGAGTAAATCCTACCTTGCGTGACCCTAACTAGTAAAGGACCACGAGGGGTAAATTAACCTAACTAGGTTGCCCATACTTAACCAATTACTCAAACCAAGAAAGCTAAAATTCAAACTCATATCATAACCTTAGGGCATCCTCAATAGTTTAGTTTTTTTCTCCAGTTTTTTTTAGACCCATACATCTACCTCATCATTCATTATCTCACTCAATTCCAAAAATCCTTCTCCGATCCCCATTAGTTTTAAATTTTTTTGTGGATCCACCATTTTATTTTCACTATATTTTAATTATTTCTATATTTATTATCATTATAAAATTATAATTACAATTATTATTTTTATTATATTTAAATTAAATATATCAAAATTTAAATAATTTTATAATTATAAATATTTTAACATATTTACATTTAATTGAAATGATAATTATAAAATTAAAATTAAACTTCTAATAAATACAAGGTTGCAAAACTCGGCCGCCTAGCCGCTTAGGCGCCCGCCTAGGCGCTAGGCGGCCCCGAGCCTTGGAGTTTTGGCCAAAACTCGGCCGGCCGCCTAGGCGGCCTGGGCGGCCAAACTCGGCCAACTCGGTCGAGTCGATCAATTTCGTCCGATTTTGACTGTTTTTAACCGATTTTGACCGATTTTGTTCGATTTTGACCGATGTCGTCTTTCATTAATTATTGATTTTAATATTATTATGACATTATGACTTATAAATTATCATTATTTCATTTATTTAGATGTGTTATTTGAGTGAACGTTGAAAACAACCTCATTAAAATTGTCGAACTACAAGTCTGTTACTATTTTTTTTAATTTTTTTGGTGCCCGCCTAGCGCCACCTAGAATCCGCCTAGGCGCCGCCTAGACTGCCTAGGCGCTAGGCGCTGCCCGGCCGCCCGACTAGCGCCTGGCGCCTACTGCAACCATGAATAAATATAATATTTAAATTAAAATAATATACTACATGTCTACATTTATATTATATATAAAAAAAAATTTATAACAAAGTCAAATAAAAATAATTTTATGAAAAATAATAAAATTATGGCTGTTGTTGTGCTAACAAGTAGCAACAGTCACAAAAGTTTTATTTTTTTTAAAAAAGAAGTCAATACGTGTAACATACGTGCCCGCTTGATTGGTCACGCATTTCACTGCTGTATTTTACTTACTTATTTATTTACATATGACAAAAACTGTGTTTTGCTGGGAGACCCAACACCCAAAAATTAAACTTTGCTTCCTTATTAGTTAAAAATCATGCCTTCAAATTTTTACTATACCAAAAACCAATATCTATACAATGCTCTTATGGTTACAAGTTTATTTGTATATCTTTGGCCACGGATTACCCCAACACCCTCCTTTCTTAATTTCATTATTGTCATCACCGTTTGATTATTGCATATATGCAGGTATTTCGTTGGCATTATAACGAAGCTGATCAGTTGTTTTGGTCTGTACGTAAAATATAAACGAAAGAAATCAGTACAGATGAAAAAGAAATTCTTTAAGGACAATGGAGGACTGATTCTGCAAGGAAGGATTGATCAAGGAAGTACATCTTCTAGCACAACAAGAATTTTTGCTGCCCAGGAGCTTAAAAAAGCAACCAACAATTATGACCACACTAGAATCATTGGTCAAGGAGGTTTTGGCATTGTCTATAGAGGAAACCTTCTTGACGGCAGAATAGTAGCAGTTAAAAAGGCCAAGATGATGGACCCAACTCAAGTTGAGCAGTTCATCAATGAGGTAATTGTGCTCTCCCAAATCAATCACAGAAACATTGTCAAACTTTTTGGTTGCTGTTTAGAGACAGAAATTCCATTGTTGGTTTATGAGTTCATAAGCAATGGGACATTGTCCGAGCATCTACACAACAAAGACAAGGCATCGGCATTACCTTGGTCGACCCGTTTAAGAATAGCAACAGAAACAGCTGAGGTCCTCTCTTATTTGCACTCTGCAGCCTCTCCTCCCATCATCCACAGAGATGTTAAATCTGTTAATATTCTCCTTGATGATGACTACACCGCTAGGGTATCCGACTTTGGAGCATCAAGACTAGTCCCTCAAGACCAAACTCAACTGACAACAATGGTGCAAGGAACATTTGGTTATCTAGATCCAGAGTACTTGCAAACCAACCATTTAACAGAAAAGAGTGATGTCTATAGTTTCGGAGTTGTCCTGGTGGAGTTGCTAACGAGTAGGAGGGCTCTATCTTTTGATGGTCCAGAGAAAGAGAGACATCTATCTCAGTATTTTCTTTCATTGTTGAAAGAGAATAAGTTATTCAAGATTCTTGATGACAACATTGTATGTCATGGAAACATTGAAGAGTTACGAGAGGTTGCTTTGCTTGCTAAAAGGTGTTTAAATGTGAAGGGAGATGATAGGCCGACGATGAAGGAAGTTGCAGTTGAACTAGGTGGATTGAGGAGAGCAAAAAAACATCCATGGATCAATAATTCAGACACTTCAATGGAATCAGATTCTCTACTTACTGAGCAGCCAATTCCCTTTGGATATGGTGCTACTTTCAGTATAACAACAACAGAGTATGATAGCTTAAAACATCATATGGAGTTTCCAGCCGCTGCTGGAAGATAATTGCAACCCCTTCATTTCAGCAAATTAGCTATATGCTCAATTGGGAATACTATATATGTTGATTTGTTTCTATTATTCTTGTGATAAAAATTAAAATAATTAATGTATTTCAAATTTAATATTATGTTGGATCTTCTTTAGTTGAATTCCCTGTATTAACATTAATATTGTTGGATCTCAGCGCTGCACTATGCCTACTTCCCAGGGGGTCACCCATCCCGGGATTGCTGGAAGTCAAGCACGCTTAACCACAGAGTTCTATGGTACCTGGTTGCCATATCCTACTTAAAACCAATTGGTGATAGGTAGGTGGACATTAACCATTTAACCACATCTCTCCATGGTAAGCCACAGCGCCACGTCCCGAATCGAGCAAGGGCTGAACTCAGCCAACCCGGCCGACGCCCAACAATCCCCCTCCCAGCACCTGCCGCAACCTTTGATCACCAACCCCAGTTACGCAGCATGCTTGACTCGGTCCTTAGCCAACCCGGCCGACGCCCAACAATCCCCCTCCCAGCACCTGCCGCAACCTTTGATCACCAAGCCCAGTTACGCAGCATGCTTGACTCGGTCCTTAGCCTACACGCCCACCATCCCCTCTTGGGATTGGACTTGGCCTGACCTACGCCCACATCCCACCTGGGACTGGACTCGTGACCACGGCTCTGATACCAATTGTTGGATCTCAGCGCTGCACTATGCCTACTTCCCAGGGGGTCACCCATCCCGGGATTGCCGGAAGTCAAGCACACTTAACCACAGAGTTCTATGGTACCTGGTTGCCATATCCTACTTAAAACCAATTGGTGATAGGTAGGTGGACATTAACCATTTAACCACATCTCTCCATGGTAAGCCACAGCGCCACGTCCCGAATCGAGCAGGGGCTGAACTCGGCCAACCCGGCCGATGCCCAACAAATATTATTACCATTTGTTGGGACGGGAACTTGGAGGACCGAGCTTAGCATCCTACCATCAAATCGTGGTTAAATGGTTATTGTTTGCTTACTTATCACCCACCAATTGATTTTAATAAGGATATGCCAGCCATAAAACCAAAGAATTGCATAGTTAAGCTAACTTACAAGAAGTCACTCTAGAAAGTATGCATAATATAATGCAGCATTTGATCTCTTATTTTTCTTAGCTTATACACCAACAACAACCAATTACTACTGGAAATTATAAAATTTTCGACCACCTGAAAGTGATCTTAAATCAAATTAAAAGTCTTGTTCTGATTACTTTTGGTATCCGAAAAAACCTTTGTTGCTATTTCTGACTACTTTTTAGATTTAGCTCTACCAAACATAACTCTGACCTATACAATAAATAATATAAATAAAGGAGTGAATAAAAAAAAAAAAAAAAAAAAGAAGAAGAAGAAAGAAAGAGGATTGGATGCAGTGTGCGTCACTCTTCCATACAATAAGTACGTTGCGGTAGTTGGAGCTAAGGAGACTTAAAGGGTCAAGCATAATGTGACAATTTTGAAGAAGCAATAATGGCTGGAGTGCATAAGACGACGTTGATCGATCCCGTTGAACACTCATAATATATTTTTTTGCCTATAAAAAGTGAAATTTTTTGTCTCAAAGACACTTACATTTCGGTGGTCCAACTTAATAGAATTATAAAACATTATGTAAATTAAGGTGACTCAACAACTCATTAAACGCTCACAAGGACCCGCCAGCAACAACTCACAATATATGTCCTACTCCTACATACCAAGAAGTATGGATGCTAAAAATCTATTTATTTTATTGACCCCCATCCCATATGTGCTAGTCAAGATATGTTTTTATTTATAACTCCAAAAAATAATTTAAGGATAAGAGAAGTAAGAGCCTACTATTACTCTTATCGATCATATTTTTTGACAAATAAGTTTAGTTATTTTGCCAGGTTATTAAATTATTAGTACCTTAACATTAACAAATTAAATAGAAATGCATAAATTTACATCGAGAATATTGACTCATAGGTCATGATCGTGACTAGTATAATTTGCAAGGTAGATGTCGTGTTGTATTGATAGATATTTCAAATCGAACATTTTGAAGTCACTCATTAATATAAAAAGAATACCATTTCTTGTTAATAATGCATGTTATATTACCTTCAATAAAAATCAAGCTAGGAAGGAAGAAAAGTCTCCTTTCCTGTTCTTAAAGCTTTATTGTATTGCCATAAGAGGGCAAGTCATTATATATATATTACGAATGGAGCCGGACCGATCCGAGAAGACGGAACACAGAGGATTCAAGCAGACCCGGGGCTCTGGGGTTGAGCCCCGTGCAGAACCCAGGCCGCCTCAGCACGAGGCCTCGACAGCCGGCCCCTCAGCACAAGATGTAATAATATAAATTGTGAATCCAAATGATGCAAATGATGTATTTTGGATCTGAGTCCACCTTGCAAGATGGACCTTGATTATCTATGGTATAACAATTGTGGGATTCAACTTTTTGAGAGAAGGTTTAGTTTTTTTTTGAAGGGAGAGAATGTGTTACCGACTTGGTCCTCGATTTTCTTTCTTGACCGATTTAGTCATCGACTATTCAATTTTTGACCGATTTGATCCTCCGTCAGTTTAGGTGTTAACTGATTGTCTACTATGAGGGCATAATAGTCATTTCACTCTCCCAAAATCCCCAAAATCGCTTTTAACCTAATTTAACATCCCAAAATCGATTTTCCCAGTTTGCAATAGCATCGCTCGTCATCTCCAAATCAATTACTAGCCCATTGTCAATTTGCTCATCATCTCCAAGTCAATTACAAGCACTTCATTGATGCCGATTTGCTCATCCTCAGGAACATAGATTTTCTCTTCGGAATGCCAGAGATTTCGGCAACCGGGAACAATGGCACCCTGGTTAATATATATATATATATATATATATATATATATATATATATATATACTAGCTTTTTACGCGCATTGCGCGATTGGGATAATGTCCAATGCTTTTTTTAAAATAAGTACTTTAAAGTATATTAAGGCAAGATTATATTGAAATTGTTCATGCATAGATAATTGAAGGTTGAATTTGCGTATTTAAATAGCTAATTCTTCTCCCAAAGGTTGAGTCCCCAACCCCAAGGGCCCCCCCACACTCCGACGCGACAGAGCATTGTGGGAAGTTGTAAATCACGGTGACTCAATGGTTCAGCAGACAGGGCCAAATGCTGGTACGCACAAGGAATCTGCCCACTTTGGACATAATTCATGTATTGCCGCCGCCGAGGTTCAAACCTTGGTCTCTTCTCCCAAATACTACCCACTAAACCATTGAGCTAAGCCCGTGTAGGTTAAATAGGTAATTCTAAGTTTACAAATGCAAGATAATATAGTCAATATTGATTATAATTGTCAATAAAATAATTGTATAGGTATGGTTGAAACCAAATACGGGACATAAGGGAGAACAAATAAAAATTAGGGCATAAAATATTAAATATATACTAATATTGTTTGAGGAGATTCCGACATTAGGATTTGTGGTTAAGTTCTATTAAGACTTTAATATTAGAATTAGATTAATGGTGTAGTTATAATTCTATATTAGACTTTAATATTAGATTTAGACTAACGGTGAATTAACAGAAAAGTTAAATGAATAATCATATAATTAAGGATAAATTAGAAAATCTTAAAAGAAAAAAATTAAAACATGAACAATATGAACCATTCATTTGATTTAATAATTTGGCGGTCATTTTTTCTACCCAATGTTAATAATTAAATAAATTCGCTGGTCAAATCCGCTTGTATAATCCACTAACGTTAACCGCTAACTGCTGATTGTCAAACAAGGACATTGCGAGGTAGTTCTCACTTCAATTTGTTGTGTGATTTGAATACTCTCTTTGTCACAAAATCTCTCAAGTAGTTAATATGGTTGGCTTTATTAATTATATATTTTTAATTTTTTCATGGTATTAATAAAATACTTGGTAAATAAATATATAGCATTATTTTATGTTATAACTTTGATATTTAATTAGAAAAATAGTGCACAAAAAAGATAATAAATAATGTTGTGAATATAATCAATTGATGAATTTTTTTTTTTTGAAAAGAGCCTGCGCGGCATTTATTGGAAATATGCTGAAATAGAGTCTGACGGACCATTGTCCGAGTACATAGGTGCTGAATAAATAAAGGCCGAAGTGGCTAAAATATGTGCTAAACAATTATCCGATCTAGGAACATAATTAACTGAAACATAATCAAAGGAAACCATCCGGTTTCTGCAGGTGTCAATGGCATAGCCGAGGTCTGAACGTGGTGTATCCTTCGCTTGTGATAAATACTGTTGTAGTAACAAACAATCCGTTAGTATGTCTACCGATCTCTCTCCACGATCCCATAGCCAGGATAACACTTCTTTACATGAAATTGCTTCTGCCATAAGCGGGGAGAAGCAGTCTATCAATGGCACCTGTAGAGCTTTGATATACGATCCCTGTTCGTCTAGGAGAATTGCCCCAACAGCGGTCTTATTTGTGGCATGGAAAAAGGCTGCATCAAAGTAACATTTATTCCGTGGGGAGGCAGCTGTGTGGCTTGTGGGCGGGACGGCGGCAGGCTGTTGTGCCACTCCTTGGCGCTGCTCGGATGTTGCCGTAGGCAATCCACGCGGGGCGTGTTGCTGTTGCGGGTGGTCCGGGTGTGCAATTTGCCATGCCCGGATCGCTGCGGTTACAGTTGCAATTATCTTTTGTGGTCTGGGCAAGTATGCATCCCACACAGCTTCATTCCTCGCTCGCCATATATAGTATAGTAGGCCTACTACATAAATAATTCCATCATCATCTAGAATATTTAATATCCCATTAAACCAAGCATGGAAAATATCTGTGATAGTATTGGGGATTGGAAGGTGAGATTGTGCCCAAATGTTCCTTGTATAATCACATCTAACCAAAGAGTGCATAACATTCTCATGCATAATCCCACACATAGCACATGTTGGGCTAATCTCCACTCTCTTTATAATGAGGTTCGTTGTTGTGGGCAATATATTATTCAAGGCTCTCCATAAAAATGTTTTCCATCTCGGGGGTACTTTGAGCTTCCATAATTTGGGCCATTTATCAAACATCCCTGTCGTCTGTTCATAATTTCCCACTATTTGCTTGTAACCGCTTTTTACCGAGTATTCTCCTGTTATATCACCATGCCAATACCACATATGCTCATACTCTGGTGACACAGGTATTTTCAATATTCGTGTCACATCCTCCGGGATGAAAATATCAGTTAAAATATCATGATCCCAGGCCGCCGCTTCCTGATCTATTAATCCCATTACAGTTGCCTGCGCCAAGTATGGTGGTTTGTCAGTGATTATTTTCGCATTATTTTCATCCTGAAGCCATGGGTGATCCCATATAAGAGTTCCCTTCCCATTTCCAATCCTGCGTCTGACTCCCCCACAAATTAATTCCTGTGCAGCCATAATACTACGCCAGCAGTAACTTGGATTATTCCCTATACAAGCATCAAAGAATGTCCATTTAGGATAGTACCTGGCTTTATATATTCTGGAAACCAATGATTCAGGTTTGGTGAGTAAACGCCAGGCCTGCTTCCCCAGCATTGCTAAATTAAAGGCATGCAACTCCTTAAAGTCCAATCCCCCATATTTCTTAGGGATGCACAATTTATCCCATGCCTTCCAATGGATGCCCTGATCATCCTTAGATCTCCACCAGTAGCGATTCATAGCTCTCTCAATGGCTGTGCAAGTATTCATAGGTAGTAAAAAGACACTCATAGAAAAAGTGGGCATAGACTGTGCCACACTTTTCAATAAGACCTCCTTACCTGCCTGTGAAAGCAATTTCTTATTCCAGGACCCAATCCGCTGTCTAATCTTATCATCAATATATGAGAAAACTGATCTCCTATTCCTGCCCACACATGATGGAAGTCTTAAATACTTCCCAAAATTCGGAGCCTGAACCACTCCCAAAATACTGGCAATCTCCTCTCTGTGTTCATCCCGCGTATTCTTACTATAGCAAATACTTGACTTATAGTAATTCACTGCTTGCCCAGACATTTCCTCATACACCGATAAACACTGTTTTACCACACTGGCTTCCTGCGCAGTTGCTCTAAAAAAGAGTAAGCTGTCATCTGCAAAAAATAAGTGGGATATAGGGGGGGCTCCCCTAGCTACTCTGCACCCATGTAGATCTCCTCTCAACTGTGCCTGCTGTAGTAGCAATGAAAGTCCCTCAGCACAAATAATAAAGAGATAAGGTGACAGTGGATAACCATGCCTCAATCCACGAGTCGGCATGATCTGGTCACTTCGTGTTCTACCAACCTGAATACTATATGAAACTGAGGTCACACACAGCATTATCAAATCCACCCACCTTTCATCAAAGCCCAATGCTAACATCATACTCCGCAAGAAGGGCCACTCCATTCGGTCATAGGCTTTTGCCATATCCAGTTTCAAAGCCCCCCATCCTGTGATTCCACATTGCTTTCTGTTCAAAAAATGTCCAATCTCAGCAGCAATCAAAATATTATCTGTTATTAGCTTGTCAGAAATAAAAGCACTTTGGGTGTCAGATATAATATCCCCCATAAGCGGTTTCATCCTGGCAGTTATAACCTTAGCCATAATCTTGTAGACCACATTACTCAGTGCTATCGGTCTATAATCCGAGACCTTCTTAGGGGTTTTCTTCTTAGGGATTAATATTATATTTGTATCATTTAGGCGAGCTGGAAACGAGCGAGTATTAAGACAATTCACAATATAGGCCGATACATCACCACCCACTACATCCCAAAAATGCTGGTAGAAACCCGGATTCATTCCATCCGGTCCTGGTGCTTTGTCAGGAAACATTGAAAATAGAGCAGTCTTTACCTCACTAGCATCAAAGGGCCGCAAGAGCAACTCATTCTGTACTTGTGTTACCCGAGAGGCTATATTTCCAAAGAATTCCCCACTATCACTTGGAGAGTCGGAGGTAAAGATAGTCTTATAATAGTTGTAGATAACATTCCTCATGGCTTCATCTTCCACCCAATCCCCACTATCATTCATAATTTTTAAAATAGTATTCTTTTTCTTGCGATGAGATGCATACCTGTGGTAGTATTTCGTGTTAGCATCCGCGTTCTTAAGCCAATGCTGCTTGGCTCTCTGCCTCCAGTATGTATCCTCCTGGGCCTCAATACGACATAGACACTCCTCTAAACATTGGAACTCAGCTAATGAGACCGGATCATTACACCCTCAGACGCAATTGTTCCTTCCGCAGGTTTCTGATCCGTTCACCAAACTTATGAAAACGCTCTCCTCCCCAACGCGACAAACGATTTCCACAAATAGAGATACATTCCTGCAACCCCCTTCCTGCGCCCTCATTCCATGCCTTCTGCACCACATCCCTACATCCTTCATCGTGCAGCCATGCCATCTCAAAACGAAACCCTCTTCTCAGACCACCCGTCCTTTCCCGAAGATTCAGAATCCCAAGGAAAAGAGCAGAATGATCGGACTTTCGGGTTAATATATTTTGCACACTAGCATCCGGCACGTTCTCACGCCAACTCTGGCTAGTCAAAACCTTGTCTAATCTTTCCTCTATCCAATTCGGTGTGCCTTTTCCTTTTTCCCAGGTAAACGGATATCCCATCATTGGCATCTGCGCTAATCCACACTCCTCTATAGTCTCACCGAACCCATGCAATAAACTCAGAGGATGAGGGTTTCCACCTCGCTTCTCAGATTGATAAAGTAAATCATTAAAGTCTCCAATCATCACCCACGGTAGATTCGATCTGCCAGCTAAGGTACGAATAAGATCCCACGAGTCTCTCCTTTGACCCCTCTGTGAAAAGCCATAAAAGCCAGTCATTCTCCACTTTTCAAACCCCGGCATAGTCACCTCAACATCCACATAGTTTGTGGAATAACTAATCAATCTCGCTGTATTATTCGCTCTCCACAACAGAGCCAATCCACCACTCAAACTAGAACTGTCAATACAAAAAAGTCCATCAAAACCAAGTTTAACCCGAAGACGCTCCGCATGATCACGGTCAACCTTGGTTTTTATGAGAAATACAAAGTCGGGTTTCTTAGAGGACACCATGTCCTCAATCTTGCGAACTGTCTGTGGATTACCCAAGCCATGACAGTTCCAACTTAAGGTACTCATTGGGACCGGCGGACCTAATCCACAGGTCCCGCCATCAAAGAATTAGAATCAACAACCATGTCCCCATTCAAAGCACTCACCTCCCCGATGTCCGTCCTCCATCTTTTCGGATCTACCCGAACCCCCACCCCTCACCACCCACCCCATACACACCCCCAAATCCCAACCCACCCCAGCCATAGACTTAGTCACCTCCACCCGAGACTGCCCACTTCTTCCCACCCCAACTCCCACCGCCATTCTCCCTCCCTCACTCCCATAGCCAATCTCACGCTTCCTCTCTTGGCCTAGTTGAAACCATTTTTCCCCCAACACCTTTGCCGGACTCGTACCCCCCGCCCTCATCGACACACCAAACGGATACTGTTCCGGCCTCAACAACGAACGGCGAGCTTGCAAGCAAAATTTATCCGTATGGCCCATTCTTCCACAAAAAAAGCAAAACATGTGGAGGCGTTCATATTTAAAGTTAATCCATGTCCAGGACCCATCTCTCAGAATCATCTTCATCCGCCGCTTTAAGGGGTTTGAGACATCATGGGTGACTCTAACTCTATAGAAGGAAGTCCATTGTCTCTCAAAATTTTGTTCATCATACCGCAAGAAAACCCCAACATAGTCTCCAATTCTTTCCAACACTTTAACTGTACGGTATCCCTGGGGGATGTCCGAAACCTGTACCCATAAGTCCACAGTGTTTAGACTAACCTGTAGTGGATCTTCACCATCGTTTAGGACTTGGCATAGCAGCGTCGCATTCTCAAACGCCCAAGGTCCCTCATCCATAACTCGTTTCATGTCCGGTTCATCAAAGAAGGTGAACAAGAACAAATTGGGCTGCACATCCGTTATCTCAATACCCATCAGAGGCTTCCAAGCCGAAGCCATAACACGCTTCATCACCTCGGTCTTGAGAATCCGATCCGTCAAAAACCGGCCAACAATGGTCCAGGTTTCCTTCGACGCCGGTAGGGCTTGGACGCCGAGATCTTTGATGTTATCACATCTTTGCTTGTTATTATAGTTATTTTGAATCATCTCAGCATTTAAGTTCTTTAATTTTGCTTATTTAATACATATTTTCCTTGCTATTATCATTTAATTATGGTTCACACTTGTTTTGAATGTTTTACGGTGTTTGTTAGTGTTTTTGAACCATTGTAGGTCAATTCTATGAGCAAGGGAAGTTCAAGGATGAGTTTGGAGCAATTTTGGACGAGTTCGGAGCCCAGTGGACTCGACGCGTCGAGCCTTTGGCTCGACGCGTCGAAAATTTCCAGTAGCATCAGAAATCGAGACCATCAGGTCTCGACGCGTCGAGCCATAGCTCGACGCGTCGAGCGAGGCGTGAAGTCGCAGGCCTAATTACGACAAAAGGGCGTTGGCAGCAATTCAACTTCAATTCCATTCAATTCCAAATTTCCAATTCCAACTTCAATTTTATAATTAAATACTTCCAATTTATTTATTTAAATATAGGAATTATAATTTGAGTCCAATTTTGTACAAGATTCCTATTTCATCTCAACTTTGTACCCACTATAAAATCCCCCCTTCCTCAACCCTAAACGGACACAGAGAGATTTTTAGAGTTCTTTGTAGACAAGAAAGAGAGAAATCAAGAGGCTCAAGTCGTCTTTGGAAGCAAGGAAGAAGCCAGGAAGATTTGGGAGAATCGCTTGGTTAATTCTTGTACTCTTCTGATGATTTGTAATCCTTTATTCATATTTGCTATGTATAATTTAGCCATGCTCGGCTAAATTCCTTAGGGATTTTTGGGTGAATTTGTTTATGAACCTATGTGTCTAGTTCGTTAATTTCTTAATATATTTATGTTTGGTTTTATGATTTGTGTTGCAATCTTGTTTTAATCTGTTGTTGTTGGTAGTTAAAGGCCTAAATTACTAGCTTCACAGTCATGTTTGTGTCACCAATGGGAGTTGGGGCATAAATTAGGGCACACACGATTGCACCTAATGGTTGGTCCTTGGGAAAGGGGAACTTATTAGGGGAAGTTTATTCTAGATTATTGCTCATCGGGAGATGGTAGTAATTAGGAATAATTGAATGCTGATCTTTGATCTTATTGGGTGTTTAAGCCATGGGAGTGGAAATTCACTAGGAATAGAGGTTACGGGAGTAATTCGATTCCACTTTGCATTCCCATACAAATCTTAATTCCAAACTAAATATTACAAACGTTAATTGGCACTAGGTGATTAAACATTATGATCCCAAGAATCCTATTTTGCTCTATTGTCTACAAAACCTTGCTACTTATTTTATTCTGCTTGTTATTTTATGCAATCAATCAACCTTCAAGTTTTGTTCGGACTAGTTTCATATGAGTAACCTAGTAGCTAGTGATTAGTACCCCACCTCTCTGTGGTTCGACAACCCGAATACTCCGGGTATCATTTGTTTGCCCCAAATTACAGCAATCAATCTTCATCCTCGAACCGGACACCTTGTTCTTCGTCGTCCAGCGTGATGTCTGTCGTGTGTGTTATTATCTCCTGCACGTCCATCGGAGGTTAGCAAGCTGCTCCAATGGCGCTGTTCGCATGCACGTAATCCGGAACCCTAGATCGCAGGGGGGAAAGAGGAAAACCCTAGGTCGCAGGGAGGAAAATTCTTCGTGTAAGTTTATCGCGCAACAGCAACTTAGTTAATTGATGAATTTGAATGTAAAAATTTTTACATTTGAGAAAAATAAAGACAATATAACTAATGAAAATATTTCTTTTAATTAATTTATTGATAATTAATAATTTGTTTTTCACTGAATAAAGACATTGTAAGGACAATGTAGCGAATATAATCAATTAATAAATTTGAATATAAAGAATTTTTATATTGAAGAAAAATAAAGACAATATAACTAATAAAATTATTTATCTTATTTAATTTATTGATAATGAATATTTTTTTTTTGAATAAAGACATTGTGAACACATAATTCTAAATTAAAGAAATGCATATGTATTATTTGTTGTTGTAACTACTAAATTATTATTTATATAATTTAATAAGAGTAAAATAGAGTACTAATTATGCCAACTTTGATTGGGATGAGGTTCGAACCTAAGACCTTTTTTTTTTTATTTATTTATTGAAATCAATGAGTAAGTTAACGGTGAACTAACGGCAATTCTTAAAATTTTAACGGAATTAGTAACGGTGTGTGGGTATTTTAGGAAATTTTAGTGTAAAATTTAAATCTGATCAATCTTTTAATCAATCTGAGCCATTCATTTGATTAAAATCTGTGACCGCCATTTTTCTACCCATTATAGGCCTAACTCTCTTGGGCACTTATTAGTATAGTAGATATATATATATATATATATATATATATATATTACATGTAAAGAATGCATAAGGAAATACTAATGAGTGATGATCCAAGAAATGTAGAAAAAAGACACAAAATTGAATTTTATTTATGGTTCAAGAAATATGTAAGTAATATAAATTTATTTGTAACATAAATTCTTTCAATTAACTTAATTTAAAATTTTATTAACTATTACTCATGATAGGTTAAGGAATTACACAATGAAGGAAGTGAAATAGTCACTGATCAATTGTTGCATATAGCCTATGGGCCAAACAGGCGTATTTATCACTATAAAAGCATACATATCAACGGCTGGAGGTTTAATACAAAAGACAGGGATTTGCAACTAAAATCGTAAGATAGTGGAATTCTTGTGAAAGGTGATACAGATACTGGCAACTTGGATTATTATGGTGTATTAACATATAGAGTGAATTCCATTTTTGGTCCTACTGTTATACGAGTCATTCCAATTTAGTCCACCATAATTATTTTTGACACATTGCGTCCACTATTATTAAAAGTGTTCCAATTTTAGTCCACGAAAAATCTTAAAATGGACTAAAATTGGAACACTTTTAAAAATAGTGGACGCAATATGGCAAAAATAATTATGGTGGACTAAAATTGGAAAAACACCTATAACAATAGGACCAAAAATGGAATTCGCTCTAACATATATCATACATTTAAATTACCAGGGCAGAAATAATGTTATTTTATTTAAAGCCGATTGGTGGGATGTTTATCATAAAACTGGATTCAAAGTTGACAATTTTGGGTTTCCTATGGTTAATATTATACAGAAGTTGCAAACTGATGAACCATATGTTTTAGCTTCTCAAGCTGAGCAGGTTTACTATGTAAGCGATATTAAGGAGCCTAATTGGTAAGTTGTTGTCAAGACAAAGCGTCGTGATTTCTATGATCTCCCTGATGATGATGTAAGAGATAAACCATGTCAGGAAAATGAAAATTTCGGCTTTACCATTGAAGGTTCTAATTTGGAAGATAATAATGATATGGTATTGCATAGGCCTGATTTGGATGTTGCAATTGTTGAAGTAAGCTCATCAAATTTTCATACCATGAGTATCGAAGAAGATGGAATTGATAGTGATGGAGATGCTTTTATTAATGATGATGAGATTCCAATAGCTGAAGATGAGGAATGTGGTGATGATGATGATGATTGAGTACTATATGAATTTGTATTTATAACTTTTGGATTCTTTACTTTTTATATTTTGAGTTTGAATGGTTAATTTTAATAAATCTTTTTTAAATATATTATTGGTACTAAATATATACATGTTTATTTCAAAAAAAAAATTAATATGAAAAATTAGTAAAATAAGTAATAGTGAACTTATCTGTCAAATAAGAATTTTTAAACATGAGTGATTATAAAATGTATTTTCACAATTACATTCATTTCACACAATATCTATATATTTAAATATAGTGACGAAGTCATTCTAACAACTAATTACTCGTGACAATTATCATAAATTAATGACAAAAAAGAAATCAACACAATTATAGTCACAATTTTGTTACGGAATTATAAAGCGTCACAAATATTTATAAAAATTTCATCACAAAAAATGACAATATTAGTGACAACAATATTTTTTTTCACAATTGTTTCTCATTTGTAATGGTACTAACCAATTGTATTTTTATTGACAAAAAACGTTGTCACGAATATTATCAACAGTGACAATAAATAATTGTATTTTGTCACGATTACATTCGTTTCCGCCATAATTATAATGCCGCCAAAATAAACATACATTTAGTGACAACAAATAGTGACAACACATGGTATGGCACTATTATTCTAGTAATAGTGACAACTTATTCGTAACAAATACTTACTTGTCACAATTACCATATTATCTGTGACAAATTTTTTTTTTTTTATCACAATTACAGCACATAATAGTGTCGAATTATTTTTTTGGTCACAAAAAAATGTATTATTTGTGACTAAATTACGAAGTGTCACAAAATATTTGTCACTAAATGTTATTATTCTTTGAGTGCCTTCAATGTGGTGGGTGCAAAGGGCGTGGGCCGCCGGGGGTTGTAAATTATAGGCAAGGACAGAAAATCAAGTTCGGGTATTCACATCCGCATTGTGAGAGTTTCATTGAATGTGGTGGGTGATAGGGGGTGCAATCATTATTCTATGGACTATGGTCCGCATAGCTCTGATATGTGGACCATAAGTAAAAAATATATTTATAATATACTAAAAGTATATTATTTGAGTACTGAAAATACATTATTTTATATACTATTAAATAATGGACATTCAATACACAAATAATGTAGTTTTAATATATTAAAAATATATCTTGTATTTTTGGTCCACAGAAAAATTTGCCCAGGGGTGTGGGGGCGATAAATTATAGGTAAGAACATAAAACCAAATTTTAGTACTCACATCCACATTACGAGAGTTTCATTCAATATGGTGGGTGACAGGGATGTGGGGGCGATAAAATTTTAAGTTTTGTAAGCAAGTTTAAATCAAAACTAATGATATGCACTT